ATTTGATATTTTTATTTGAAACTTTACCAGTACATTCTTTATAAACAGTACTTTCGAAAAATGTGAAAAAAATCGATTTTTTCAACCTCATACATGAGACTACATCCTTAAAGCAGTGGTCGGCACGGCTGTATCCCGAGGGCATAGGAAATTTCTCTGCCCGGACCGTCATGCTCACAGTCTACTTTCTGCTATTCGTTACTACCCTAAAGGACCATTCCTAAAGGATTACTCAAGGAAACCTTAGGGAAAAGAAATTGCCACCCTAGGAATCCTTGGGGTATATTTCATACCAACCATCAAAGAATTTCCATAGAAGAGTTCCTCGCATCGAGGAATTCGAACACCTCAAGGAATACTGCAGGATTTCTGCAGTAATTCGAAGAGCATTTCGAACTAAATACCCCAGGGAATCCCTGGGGTATATCCTGAGGAATCTTTGAGGAAATACCCCAAGAAATCCCTGGGGTATTCTCTGAGGAATCTTTGAGGAAATACCCCAAGGAATCCCTGGGGTATACTCTGAGGAATCTGTTAGGAATTTCACCCCCGCCCCCCACCCGTTTCCATTAAAAAAAAAAAGAATTCAAAAAAATTAAAAATTATTGTTATTTTTATTATTACTTTTATTATTATTATAATTACAAATTATTATTATTTTACAAATTACTAATTATTATTTATTTTTTTTTGTTTTTTATTATTATTATTTTTTATGCACGTCAAAGCGTGCCCCAAAACTTTTTCCGGCGATTTCCCCGGATCCACCATAGATATACTATCTGTAAATAAAATAAATAGGCATTAGATATTGCTTACATTATTTGTAATTAAAATACATACCGATCAAAACTCCATAAAAATTTGGAAACGCCTTCAATCTCTTCTTTCCACTAACTCCGTCAATATTGTACTGGACGATCAGGTCCTCGACGAAAATATTTTTTAACGATTTGGTTAGGGGTCCGCGCTTCAATATATTGGTCACTGCGGTGGTCTGCAAAAATTAATAGGTATTACAAATTTTTTTATATTTAATTTATAAATATTATACTTACACATTCTTCCTTCATGTCGCGGCCTAAGGCGAAATCTAAGGCTGCCAATGCCTCGTCGGTGCTGGTGGCCTTGCTAATAAATAAGTTTATTATATGCACTTCTCACCAGAATTAGTTATTGTCACCAGGTCACTTAAATGTTTTCTTAAAAAATTTAACTTCAAACGCAACAAACAAACGCGTGTAGTTCATATGCAACTTGAACATTAAATGCAAAGAGAAGGGGAGAGGCAAGACGAAACCGAAAATTGACAACCGAAAATTCTGGCGATGCCAGGGTATAGTCGACCAAAGCAATGCCTTGTAATTAGAATCGCACAAAGCAAATACTCAAACATGAACATTTTGGCTTTGCCTAAAGCAAATTATTAATACATTTCAATATACCATATGATTAGATAAGAATATATATAAATATCTAAACCTTTTTTAAAAAGGGTATTCTGACGTCGCTTCCATTCATTTGGTTTTCGACACCGATTTTTGTTCTCTCCCTTCCCTCCATCTACATCTCTCTAATTGTCTCTCTGTCGCGTGCCTCTGCACCGAAAATATGACGTAGAAGCTTCGAGAATCATCGTCGAAAACCGAAAGCAGGTAGAAGTTTCGTTTCGGACTTGAGTAAACGAAGCCCATGCAATTTGTTTTTGTTTTTCGATCATGTCGCCAGGAAAAGTCCGGGAGGGAATTTTGGTACTGAAGGGTAACAATAATGCGTTAAAATCATATCAATATAGGAAATAGTCGATTTGATAGGTCGGACCAATTCATTAAAATAGAATCCATAGAAAATCATCCTTCTGTAACTCAAAAAGCATCAATGTTCTGAATTTTTGATCACATCAGTTATGGATACATGGTAGAGTGGAGCATGGATACATGGTAGAGTTTCTTACTATTTCTCCAGCATGAATTAAAACCTTATAAAGAGTAGAAGGTAGTGGATATCTATCACACACGAAAACGTGCAGTGATTGAACATAAATTTTCATATTTTGTGATATCGATTTGTAGCTGGTAAGATAGAGTAATTAAAATAGTTTTTAGATCTGCAAAGATATCTCCATTTTGAAGTGTAGTACGTGCAGAGTTACCGTTATTGGTGGTGCCAGCACCACCTGCTGTAGGTTTATCAACAATAAAACCCAATTTTTCGCGTAACAATTTCTGAATCTCAGCATTCCGGTATGCTACAATTTTTTTTTTGGTGCTTAAACCCTCTACTCCTATAGTAGTTCTGTGTGCTATATGTAAGCAGCATTCATAAAATCGGATCCAACCGTGTAAAGGACTAATACCATATTTCAAAGTGATTTGATCTGTAATAAAGTGATTTGATCTGGATCCGGATTCTTGTGTAATATTTGCAAGATTATTAAATTCTATTGGCTTTGCTTTGCAAATAGGACAGCTCTGGGAGGATTTCGTACATGTTATCGTTTTCAAAACTTTTCCATCAATTAGAGTTTAATGCACAGTGCTGCCAACTTTTGACCAAAAAGATGTTTTTGACGGGAAGAATAAAGAGAAAAGCTACAAAAAATTATTTAAAAAATCCAATAAAAAGCTCAAAACAAATGTATACAAATAAAAATCAGAAAATAATCATTATTCTCTGAGTGAAAAATAAAAATCTTGAATAACCATTTTTGATTTATATTTTTTTTGCTTAAATCATGATTTAGCGCTATGTGATAGATTTTCTTGATATTTGGCTGCAAATCTAATTAGGCAACATAAGTATGCAGCTACAATTTAATACATGGCAAACTCCCATTTTCCATACCACGCGTTCATAGGGTCGGAAATTCTGCCACAGCGCTGACGGCAACTGACACTTTCAAATTTTTTTAAAAGCTCACTTTTTTGCTCCCATTTTGCCTCGTTTGACAGCTTAAATTAAAAACCAAAAATTTTCCACTGAGAAAAATTTCTCAGAAATTGGGTTGGAACTGGGTCAGAATAGGGAAGCGTAGTTTTTCATTTGTTGAAGAACTGTTGCTTGAAAAGCTTTCTTTAAAATAAAATACACTATTTTAGTGCTCATTCGAACTTTTGAATTAACGAAAAACGAAACAAGGAACTACGTTTCTTTCGCTCAGTGAATGCTCTGCTCACATTTTTTTTTACTGCTACGAAAACACTCAAATTTTAAACATGTGTCCACTATGATTTTTTCACTAACAGCCTTCTGTACCACAAAACGTTGGGAAAATTGAATACAAAGCTTCTATAATTCATAGAAACCAATTTTTTTATGGAGGATTTTGTAGTTCTTATTGAAATAAGTAGAGCAGTGCTCATCCCATTTCTCTCGCTGCTCATTTGTTTTTGCAAATGCTCATTTATACGGAGTTGTGTGAGACTGCTCACGCCATAAGGTTCGTTGCTCACGCCATAAGCGTAGTTGGTCCGAGCATAAGCAAAGGGCAATTACAATAACAATTTTTCGTGATTTTCCTATTTTCCTCAATCGTGCTAATCCGAATGAATTTTGTTGTTGAAGTGCCGAAAACTTTTTACTGCAACAAATTCATTCTTGTTTCTGTTTCTGCCAAAATGGTCAACGTGAAGCGATAAATTTATTCTTCGCAGAACATTTTTTTAAAGAAGCTCCGCATTATTTGTCATAATAGCATAATAGGCTGTTGTAAAATGCAGGGATTTTTTTTAATGGCTGTAATAAAATGTATTTAATTTATTGATTTTTTTACAATAATTAAATTTTATAATGGGACCTTAACTTAATAAAATATTGAATAGTACAATGTTTGCTTATCCTGAAAAAATTCATAGGTAAAATTTATTATATTCATTATAAAAAATTAAAAAAAAATAACTTTTTGCGTCACATGCGTGTCTGTCACGTAGGATTTTTCGTCGCGTGTCAGCTACCACGCATTTAACATAGTTAGCATTGTCCTATTTAAGTGCTATATGTACCGTTGCCTGCGATGAGTTTCTGTCATTTTGATGGTAACTTGTATATGCCTCTCCTAAAGAAGTCCTTGTCCCTACTGGCAAAAAACTCGGCGATTCGATTTTCACAATCCTCCCTTGAACTCAATTTTTGTCCATCGAAAAAATTTTGCATGGCCATTAACACTTCCCAACTAAGCTCCCATAGCTTGTGATGCGTCAGATTATAAATGTAAGTTTCTTTTGTAAAATTTGTATCCTTTCTGTTTAAATAAATTAAAGATGTATTTTTTTTTTCAAAAGCTACAACATTTAACTATTGAAAAACGTAAAAAAATTGAAAATCGGCCTAAAATTACGCGTTCAGGAATTTTTAAGAGCAAAACACTTTCGAAAAACCGTTTTTTCGAAATAAATCAAGATTTGAGGGTGTATGAAAAATTTCAAACATGGTTTTATACTATACTCGACCTAATGAACAATTCCTACTAGGTCTCTTCAAAAGTTCCTCCAACTTTTCTTTTTTTGTCGCACTGTGTTATTGCTGTTGACACATCATCTGGATAGATTGCATTCCCTACCAATTTTTGTAACTTTTGTGAATCAAAGACCGAACTCATGAAGATGGTTTTCCCAAACATTGCTCAAAATTACGTAAATCACGTTAGGTTAAGCGAACGTGTTATATTCGCAGCAAAAAATGTTTAATGAATGAAATGAATTTGTAAATTAAATGAATTTGTGAATGAAATGAAGTTTCAGATTCAAGAGAAAATAACTGGCGAATTGAAGAATAACAAATCATTTGGTTCCATTACTAATGAAGATGAAGGTGTCAATTAGCCAACAGAATTTTTAAATTCGCTGGAATTGCCCGGCTTACCACCTCATAATCTGCAATTAAAAATCGCATCAGTAATTATAATTATTATTATTATTAGGGTTGTCAAATATTTACAAAAATATCGTATCGATGATATTTTTTTTATCAAAAAATATATAAACTTAACTTAAAAACTTATATATATATAAACTTAACTTATATTTTATGGCATAAAAAAATTAAATCCAATGTTTAGAATTTAGTGATTTTAAAAACACGCGTTGGGTTATGTGTGTGTCCGTCATCCTGCTCCTCGCGTCGCACACAACATATTTGATAGCCGATGCCAGCCGCTCCGACGGCACCGAGCTACCCGGGGTTATTAAACATTTAAGGGCCACCTTATAAAGGCCTGGCATGGTCGCTTTATGGGATTTCAGCTTGAGGCAAGCTGAAGTACAATTTCAGCTCCTTAATGTGCTCTGACACACTGCTTAACTCTTTTTGGATTGAGTGATTGTGCGAGCTCATAAAATCATCCAAACATTCATCCGGTTTTGTAACATCGGAAACCTGAAAAAATTTAAATAATTTATTTACTATATATTCAAGTATGTGTTTAAATTATAATTAGCAAAATTTTAAATGTTATAATAATAAACCTATGGGTTTTACTGATTAGTCAATTAGTTATTCAAGTAAATAGAATTGTATCTTCATGACATACCCTTCCCTCAACAGTAAAATGATTAATTTCATTTGTGATTTCAACAACGGCATCCTTTACCGCTAAAGGCGCCAAATACATTTTTTTAAACCTAGGGTCTAAAAAGGTGGATTTAACCAAAATAGGATTGTTTTGTAACGCCTGAAACCTCCGTTCTGAAATTCTGATGAGCGCCTCCTTGGCTCGTTTGCCTTCGTTTGTTTCCATTTGCAAATTTTTAATTTTGGTTTGCTAGCAGTGAAGGAGACTACATACGTCTCTACATATTGTTAGTTCTGCCACATTGAGCATTTCGGGGAGTCCTTTGACACGTTCCGATTTTTGCAGCAATATAAGTGCCACCTTGTTCACTAAGCCTAAAAACGACTCCATCATATCCAGGCATGAGTTCCACTTAGTGTCCACATTTTGTATAAGGGTCCTTGTTTTTCCCTCGGGAGTTCCCTCATCCGTTTGGGCCTTCCGTAGTTGGTCCATCATAGCCGACCTATGCTTAAAATGCATGACCACCCTTTTTATTTTGTCCACGATTGTGGAAAATGAACATATTTCCTTAATTGTTTCGTCAACAACAAGGTTTATCATGTGGGCGAAACACGGCACATGTTTGTTTGCCCCCAGAAACAGTTTGGCAGCGCACTTCATGTTGCTTGCGCTGTCTGTCGTTAGAGTTGTCCACTTCAATTTGTCTATGTTGAATTCGGCGCACGCCTCTTGCCACAAACTGGTTAAATAATCACTAGTATGCGACTAAATTGGATCGGAAAATATTACGATTTAAGAGTATTGCTTAATAATTAAAAAAAAGTGACATATCGACAGAGCACCAGACAAAAACGACACACAATTGACAATACAAAATATTCTATTTCAACATACCATTCTTGACGATGCAAGGCAAATTGAATTCAGCGACTCTTTTTCGATGAAATACCCCGTGATGGTCAGGAACGAGCGAGTTGAGTTGGGTATGGTAACGCCGTCGCAGGTAAACGCAACGTCATTAACGTTGCTAAGCATTTGTAACACAGCCCCAACGCACTGGTTGTATTTTTCTTCAATCATTGTTATCTAAAAAAGAATATGTTTATACTTATGAAGGTCTAATAAAAAAATTTAATTTTTTTAATACTTGCCGTGAATCTGCAAGGGATTTTAAAGTGCGGCACACACTTTTTAAGAAGTCCTCTGAGGCCCTCTTTTTCAACACATCGTACTGGCATGTTGTCCTTACAAATCATGTAAACTAATGCTTCATTGATTTCCTTGGTCTTATATCCATTTTCTAAAAAGAAAATTAAAGTAAATTAAAGGAATGAACGCCACTCGTTTTTTTTCGTTTTATTGCCTAAAGGACAAGCGGTTTTAAGGGGTTATATACCTTTTTTTTCTTAAAAAAAACGAAAAATTTTTTTTTGCTGAATCCTAAAGTATATCTTAGAGTAGTAGAGAATATTTTCCCAAAGTTTTATGGAGATCCGAATAATAGTTCGATAGGAAAACAGCGTTTTGAGGCGCGGTTCGTCACGGCTGCGGACAGCGTCAAGCAACTTTGAATGCGATTATCTCAAAGTCGTGTTTTTCCAAAAGTGCTTTCGCCGTGACCACGATTACACAAAAACTATTTGATCGATCTTCTTCAATTTTTTTTTTAATTATTCGTAATGATTGTGCCGAGTTCGTGAACGATTCAGTTTTTTTGCGTCCATTTTTATTTCGCAGATAAAAATTTTTTAATAAAATTTTTAGAACTGAAAACATCAATTTTTTGGAAAAATGTTTACTGTATGCAGGAAAAACCAAATATTCTTGAAACTAATCGTTCACGAACTGGATATAATATTATACTAATAAAAAATTTGTGGTTTTTGGATTTTGGTTGACCGGCTGGACTGCTATCGTGGTCACCGCAAGCCGCTATAAAAAAAAGGGTTCCGAGAGAATTGCCATAACTTTGTAAATTGTGTATATTTTTTTAAGAACAAACGCTTATTGTTTCAATAAAAACATGTACTTTCAATAAAAAATAACTTCAGTGTCATAAAATAATTGCTACACAGACGAAATAAAAATCCAAAGTTCCCTCAATTTTTTCGCTCAAAAAGGTATATAACCCCTTAAGGGGGGACATCTGAGTAGAATTTTGAAAAAATCGAAATTTTTTTTTTTCGCTTAAAAAATTCTTTAGGGTTTTAAAAATGACATATCAAAAGATAGAGTCCCGCAAAAGTGTCTAAGTGCCGAAATTTTCCATTCTGCGGCGATGCCTCACAGGTATATCCCACAGTACTTAAAACTTTAAACGCGTTTTTCTCGAAACCACTTTTTTTGGGTTGGCCGAACACCTAACTCGAACAACTCTTAACCTATCGATCTAAAATTTTGACAGTATACTCAGAATACCTATGTCTATCGACATACGTAGGATTTTTTTTTTATTTTGCTTACTTTTTTTTTTATCAACAATTTTGTGACGTTTTTTGTTAGTGAAAATGGAAAATTTTGTTCAACCACTTGCCATTTTGGAAAAAATCAATATATCGAAAAAATCCTACGTGTGTCGATAGCCGTTGAGATAAAGAAACTAACAATACTTGATTTTTTGTTCTAGATCAAAAATTAAGGACGTTAGGTGTTCGGCCATGGACCCCCTTTAAAAAAATAGGGCCTACGAATAATGGCTGCAGGGCCGCCATTTTGTTTTCGATTTATTAAAAAAAATTTTTTTTGTGTAGTTTAAATATAATATAATAAAACCCCATTTACAAATTTTCGATTAGCTTTTTTGATTTGGCCAAAAAAAATTCGAGAAAACCCGCTTTTTTTTGGCCTGTTACTCAGATGTCCCCCCTTAAAGGAACTTACCTTTAAAGGCTGCAGCATTCTTAAAAGATTCGCTTATTGTCAGTACTTTTTCAAGTTCGATGACAGCTACAAATTAAAACAAATGTAAACCACATGTTAAACTTCAGTTTTAACTGGTATGTTTCATTTATATATAGACGCACATACACACATATGCCAACATACATTCCTTCTTTTGCGTGCATTTTGCGAAAATTTCTGCATTCTTGTTTCGCAGGTGCGACTACAGATTCGAAGTATTTCCACTAGTCTTTATAACTTTATCGCAATGCGTGCACTTAGCTGTGCCGTATAATTTGATTTGTATAATTTGATTTTACATTCATATTGAGTTTTTTTCACTTTTCACATACGATTCTTGGTACGGAAGTTGAAACCGCGTTGCTTTCAAATTAAGAGTGACCAAGGAAAAAATATCCAAAAATATCAAAAACCAACATCGATATTTCGATATTTTGGCAAAAAAAATATTACGATATAAATATATCAATTTTAGAAAAAATATCGATACATTGATATTTCGATATATTATCAACAACCCTAATTATTATGTTACGGAACATAAACCAGTAACGTCTGTGTAATGGCACCCGGCTTGCGGTGAAGATATTATTGAACAACGTCATCGAATCCAAATTTTGGAAGGGAAGTATAAAGGCGAAAATGTTTTAATCCCACGCATTCCTATGTTACCGAACGACATGCCATTCAGCTTTAAACGTTTAAAAAAAGCATTAGTATAGAGAGAAGCAGTGAAGGCTATAGAGGCTATTAGTTGCTTTCTAAGTTTGCAAAGTTTTTTAATAGCGATTTGTAAAAAAATAAGTAAAATTGAACCGTATGAAATAAACACTATTATGAAATATATATGTTGTTTTTTATTTAATAAAAATTAGTAATGTCCTCAAGTATGGCGAGAGGGGGGAAATAAGGATTCATTTTAGGATAAATGCAGGATATTGTAGATTCCAGTTCAAATTGAATAGGTACTCATACATAAGATAGGTTAGCTATACAAAATAAAGTTGTGCATCAAAGCTACGCTAAGGCGGTGCGAAGTTCGCCGGGTCAGCCTTGAGAAAAAAAATACTACTAACGCTAAAATACTATTAAGGACCCTAAATCGAAACAGTACCCGGGCGAAGCCGGGCTGGGCAGCTAGTTTTACTATTCAAATCCTTCGCGCTTATTTTCGTATATTTCCTCTCTTGCTTTAACTCAGTGTTACCAATTAGTGGATATCAAAAATATGTTTATGAAAAAAAATTTGCGATATTCGATATATCACGTAAATAAAATTATCACGATATAAATATATATATACTTTTTTTTTTCAAAAAATATCGATATATTGATATTTTGAAACATTTTTCACATCCCTACATGCGACCCGGGTCCGAGTCGAGTGCCGGTGGCGTGGCGTGCGCGTGCGGCTGAGAAAAATTGTATTAAAATGCGCAAAATGGCGCATATACAATTCGTAATACTTGGCATAAAATTCAGACCATTTTTATTCAGTATTTTTATTGAAAAAATAAATAAGAAGTGCATTATGACGTTACATTTCGTCTATATTACAAGACAGGGTTTTTACAAGATGAATTATTTCAAGAACTTTAAAAAATTTTAGTTTGGCCACGCTCACGGGTTTCTTGGCCCAATGTTTCAGGCCTTAGAGAGCATCTTACTCTCTTTCTTAGGCTCATCTTACGGTCATAATCTCATTGAATGTTTTCTGTTTTACCGTCTCTGAAAGAAGCACCATAAAAAAGGTTGGTCTGCGCTTCGATTGATCGTTGTATTTATACGCGGCACACATACAACAGGGGTTCTATGCGAACTAATATTTTAGTTTTAACGGGTTATATACAGTTGCTCGACCCAAAAAGAGCTTCATTTTTTAAATTTTCTTACTAATAGAATTTTTTAAGACAATAATTATTTACTTAAGTAGAAGTTACTTTTAAGATGATAATAGCATGTCGGTTATGTAAAAATATTTTAAAATTCAACTTCAGCAGCTGTTGATCCTAAATCAAAAAATGTGAATAATTCTTTTAGAGAATACATAAATCCAGGTGATGAACAAAAGATTTCAACAAATTCCCATTTAATAAAAATGGATCAACTTCAAAAACATTTCGTTTTTTTCTGACATTTTGTCATTAAATTTTGGAAAAAAGGTAACACATTGAAAATATATTCCTTCGTTTATTACCTAAGAAATACATCGAAAAAATCTGAGATCACCGACAAACGAGAAACGCTGTTTTAAAAAAAAACGCGGTCAAATTTATCCGGCTCCCTTTGAGGCACTCTGACATGATCATACAAATTAATGTATAGATCCGAAAATATTTAACGGATTCAGTTTAAAATTTGAATTTGATTTATATGTATATAAATATACATATAGATTAGAATAAACTAAAAAAAAATGTGGATCATATATTCTATAAACCCCTTAAAGTTATCGATTTTAAACTTTTTACACCCCCATCTTTCCCTTACACGCAATATGGCCAACTTGGCCAACTATATCCTGTAGCTTTCATATAACTAATTAACAGGAAAAGCCATAACTTTGGTGTTTTTCGAGCAGTGGTCGGCAGGGCCCTATTTCAGGGGCATAGCAAATTTCTTTGCCCGCGCTCTGCCCACACACATTACACACATAAAAATACGAAACGTCATGCTCGCAGCCTACTTTCTGATATTCGTTACTAATACTAATGCATTCAAATCCCATCAATGTATTGAGTGCCCTATCCGTCCTATCAGGTGGACCCGAAGTTGATATACCCTTGGAGTTAAAAACGGATACATATGTATCGCAAACATCGGTTATAGTTGGCCGACCCTCATGAGAATATTATAAGAAAACCAATTTATTACAATACGAAATCTAAAAAAAGTCGCAAGCTTCTATCTTTAGAAATACCACAGTTGGTATTTTTACCAAATACCTTTTTTGATCGTTCAGTTATATGACATCTATAAGATATAGTCGTCGATCGTTATGAAATTTGGTAGTTCGGATCAACTGTTCAAAATTTGTTGGTTTGCAATACATCCGAGCCAGCCGTGGTGGTCATATGCCAAAAATCATATTTAAAACGTAATGCCACAAGATAGGGTCGGAGATCACTGCGTTGCACACTTTTGGACATAATTATAATACCCTCTGCTAAGGGTATAATGATGTTCCTAACAAAAAAAGTTGACGAGCCAACCGAAAATTTGAGACCAGAGTCCTGGCTGAGCTGATTCCTTCATTTGAGAGCGGTTTTAAGTCGGAGTTTGAATGAGGCTATTGGTATTCCAGAACCATTACTAATAAAGCCACAAAATTACAAAACGAAATCATTGAGCGTGTTTTTGTGCTCCCGAAAGTTGTCAATTCGGAAAAACTGGAACCAAAATTAAAATCATTAGTAATTGAAGGCAATGTATTAAAATATGACGAAATGTCAAAGTGTTATCCAAGATTAAAGCAATTTGGTATTCGATAGAGCTGGGATACTATCGATGGCACTATCGATATATCGAATTGTTTCCTTTCTGAGCCGCCATCGATAGTTTTTTGACACTATCGATGGTGCTAGGCATTTTTCACATCACTGAAATTTCAATAAAACACGAGGTTTGGTCGCGGAAATCTGCCCAAATTTGGTAGGTAGTTTTGGTAGTGCCCAAAAAAAAATAAAGTAAATATGACTATACTATCGATACTATCGAATTTTTGCTTTGAAAACATCGAAACTATCGAATGCTTCGACCATCGATAGTATCCCAGCTCTAGTATTCGAGACCTCTTCACACAACCAGTTAGTATATAGACCAGGGGTGCCATAGTTCATAGAGGTGCAAAAAACATCGATGAAAACATCGATGCATCGATGTTTTTTGAATTTTCCAAAACATCGATTTTTTTTTTTGACCATCGATGTTTTTGTGCCGTCACTATCAAGAGAACAAGCAAAGAAGAGGTACGTAAATTTTAAATTTTAAATTTTAAATTTTAAATTTTAAATTTAAAAATTTTAAAAATTTAAAAATTTGAATTTTAAATTTTAAAATTTTATTACAACCGTATGTCTATTTATCTATTTAACTTATTTAAAAAATATTTTTTTAATTTTTAAAAACATCGATGTTTCATCGATTTTTTGGGAAAAACATCGAAAAACATCGATGTCTCCATACAGCGATGTTTTTGCACCTCTACTCAGTGGTGTCACTTTTTTCTGAGCAAAAAAAGCTGGATCAACGAAAAAAAAAGCTAAAAAAAGCGGAATACCAGAGAAAAAAAGTTAAGAAAAAAACTGATTTTTATAAGGCAATGTACTGCATGTTATTCACTAATAAGACCTCAGTTCCACTTAACATAAAATATATGGGTAATTCTCTAACGGATATCATTACAAAGAAACCAAAAAAAAACAATAATGTACAAAAATTAAGATCAATGTTATATTTAAGATGTCGTCAATATTATCATCATCATCAGTTGGATAAAATTTCTTGTCTTCAATTGTAGATAGGCAGCTGGGTGGTACATTATAGTTAAAACAGCACATATTGTGTCGACGCAGCCCGTACCTTAAATTTTAAGTAAATTAATTTATAATTTTAAGATACAAATTAAAATATGGACCTTATACTCAGTATAGCGTTTAACGTTTCAACGCTCATGTTATTTCGAATTTTCGTTTTTATTAAATGTACTTGGCTGAACACCCGCTCGACGTCGGCATTCGACCAAGGCAAAACTGCATTTGCAGAGCAACTGAAGCCAATTCCTGAAAACGGCAGTTTCCGCCAGAATCCCGATATTTAAGAACTTCAGCCCAGAACTTAACAGTATCATCGACATTTTCCCACTCTACCATGGTTATGTCGTTGTACAGTCGTTAAATTTTATCTATATTAGGAGTACCAAAATACTCAAGGATTGGAGAGATTTGTTTCTTTTTGATTTTTAAAATTTTTTTAACAGAGAATGCATCAAAAAGTAAACAAAAAAAAAAAAGCTGCGTAAATTTGCTCAAAAAGCCAGAATTCCCGCTGCCCGCTGTTTTCATATTTTTCCCGCAATCACGCTTCAAAAAAACCCAGATCTGACGGGAAAAAAGCGGAAATAACACCACTGCCTCTACTAGCTCAGCATACGGCAGAGCAAACTCCAATACTAATGCAAAAAATCACCAATACATTGGAGCGAGACATTTTTTTTCAAGTCATGTCGGTATACTGAAAAAAATTATAGTACAATTTTCAATGAAAAAAAAATATAAATGAAATTAAATCTAAAAACAAAATATAAAAAAGAAAAAATAAGAGAAAAATAAATACAAAAAAAAATCAAAATTAATATTTACATTTTTATGTCAATATTACTCAACATATTATTTATACATATTTATATTTA